AACGTGGCCGGGTACTTGTACATCAAAACAACAAAAAGACACTAAGTACAGATCTGAGAATACTCGCAGTTACTGATAGCTATTTCAAAGCCACTAACAACTAATAAAAAAAAATCATGCATCTAAGACTAAATTATCAATCCGTACACATCCAACATCCAATGGATTTAGTGTAAAGACGTCATAAACAGTCAGAGAAAAACATGACCATGTGCAATGCCAGATTGTAGATCCATGAATGTGTATATGTATATAAAAATAACATTTAGTTAGGGGTCTTAAGTTAGTATTGCTGGGGTCTTAAGTTAGTATTGAATAAGCTTATTACATTTACATCACGGCAGCCTGGACTTAAAACAAGTTTTTCTCCTTTGATGTTTATTACTGCAACCATATGTCATTGCAGTACCTAGTTCCCTTATCTAGAAACTTTCTATCTTTTCGGTAAGGAGTACTTAATATAGTGCTATTGGTGTGGAGATAGATTTTCTCGATAATAAAGAAGGATCATGGTCAAGTGATAAAATGGTTATAAAGAACCCTGAATTGCGGATCTTTATTATTAGACCGGAGTTGATTCATCCTTTTACGCAAAGTTTGTCGAGTTTCACCAATGTAGCCCACACAAAGTACATTCAATTCCGTAAACGACATTGTCCGTGGAACAGTCCAGAGGCTCAAAAGATATGTATAATAAGTTTTTCCTGTTAAGTTATTCATGTTACTAGTGAAATCTGCAGTAGTGATTAACATATCACATATCTAACATGTGCTCCTTTTTCCTTTTTTATGTTTACAAGTAGAAATAATAGGACTCACTAGTAGCGAATATCTTTAAACAGTCAAAAATATTAACAGTTCATGGTTTTAAGTTTCGAAAAGTATCTGAATTTCAAAAGTAATATTTACCTCTAGGCTGTACATGAGTCCCGTAGGATGTTCAGCGGAACACATAAATCAAATGCTACAGTTTTCCGTGTAGCAAAACTAGCAGAGGACTTTGATAACCCGGGCGACGTCCTAGCCGGTTTGTTCTTTGTATCCTTTGTATTCATCATGCATACCAAGGTAATGATCATGATGCCCTCGGGGAATAATTCGCTAGCAGTATAGTTTCTTCTAGGAAGAAATTTGACAACGACTAGATTGTAGTAAAAAGTAGAATAACAAAAATACCGAACTCCAAGGAAAGTTCAAAACGGAAAGTCCCTCATCAAATGGCAAAATCAAAAGCACAAACACATCAAACGAATGGGAAACAACTGTCATATTCCTGACTTGGTACAGCATTTCCTTATGTAGATAATGGTGGTTTAAGCCTAGGTTTATACATAGCTAGCTAAACCTCTATGGTGTTATTTTATGTATTTTCTAACCATGACAAGAATAATAAATTGGAATTGTGTTTGTAATGCTTATAAGCAAAAATGAAAGACAAGTATACAAAAAAAAAAAGACCATAGCACAATAACACAATGGCGGGATGTATAAATACCGAGCCACGCCAAAAGGATGTTACCAGAAATGAACTGAACAGTAAAGTTGATAATATACAAAGACATAGATAAAGAACACTATAACACGTAATTAAGATGAAAAACAATATCAGTTCATAGAATCTATATGTGAAGACCATCATGTATTATTTGTGAAGTTGATACGGAATATTTATCAACAAGGTCTTGGTATCTTTCGATGAATAATGTTATTTCAATTTGACATAATTTCATTACATTTTTATTATTATTATTGCAATAGTCCATACAGAATACAAAAATGTGGTAAGACAAATAATGAGAACCAAGATGTTTGATAATAACTTTACGGAAAGTAGCTGCTACTATCCTGGTTGAGTATGCTTTATTTAAGTCCACTTGTGCTGCGATAACTAACTTATTGTGAAAATGTTATACTTTACATACCACGAAATTTCAAATATCAACATGATTTCACAAAAGACATAAACACAAAGAGATACTTACAACAATTGACAAGATTCGTTTTTGATAAGTTTGTTAAGATTTCTAATTTGTTTATTTATTGTCATTGTTGTTTCCTTATTTGCATTCACATTGGAAGCCATTGCATTAAGACTACTAAGCTGTTGGTTTTTCTGTTCAAATCGAAGTTGAAAAATAATAGCAATTATAACTTGATGTCTTTTTATTTATTGTATGATATGTTTGAAGCGTACACAGGGAAATATCACTCACAGGAATTTCCCATGAATTTAGATTCATGTGAATCTCATGTGAAATTGAAACACAACAAACTTATTTGTGAATATCAGATAAAACTGATTTCACAAGAGTTCACGTGAATTTAATGTGAAAATCACATGTTTTTTTTCACGTGAAATACACGTAAATTTCCAAAATAAAATTATTCAAATAACATCTGAATTTTCAAATTTGATTAGATCATGACAAATACCAATTCTTTTTTTTTTGTAAGGTTTATGTGAAATTCACGTGAAAAAATTCACATGAGATTCCTGTGAAAATTATGTGAAAAATCTCGTTTGAGGTGAATTTCACGTAAAATTTTAAGATTAATGTGAAGTTCACATGAGCATTCATGTGTTATTTCTTGAAATGCATTATTTTCAAGGTAAAAACATTTTACGACATTATAATTAGTATAATTACTGACCAATTATAGAAAAAAGCTCACATATTCAGTTGTTTTTACAAAGACAGTGCGTAATGTTTGCAGCTACCTAAATATCTTTCGACGAGTTTAAATGAAACCACTGATACTTCTTGATCCATTTCAAATAACAAATCAAGGTAACGTGCAAAATTTGGGGGGATCACATGAACTCCAAAATGGGAGCGAAACAAGGTGTGTGGATAGGGTTAGTGTCTCCAGCGCTGCACACATCACCCGCCATGATTAAGATCAGTCGTAAAAAATGCACCCTTTCCCAATTTGTCACAGTTTGACATCGCGAAAAATAACATTTCAGGTTAGCAACCCCATCCCTCTCCTGTAACTGTGATGTATGCCTTTAACTGTATAAAACTGGTCTACGGAGATCAGCTTCTTTAATTCTGTTGAGAAAATCTTAGAATTTTTACACACCACGAATTTTCAAATGACAACATATTTTCTCAATAGAGATAAACACGAAGGGATAACAACACAAGATTCCTGTTTTATTCATAGTTTAAACTTGCTGAAATTTTCATTTAATGACATTGTTTGTACATTAATTGATTTCGTATTGTTAGCCTTTGTATTGGGGCCTAGTATATTTTCTGTTCACAACGAAGTAGAAATATAGAAATTAAATAATTCTACTAATCGCGGACTACTGAAAGTTCTCGTTCATGTCTCTGTGTGTTGAGTTTCCATATCACGCCTCTGCAGTGATATTGGATTTTCTCTGTCTAGGAGAAACATATTGTATGACGTCATAAGCCTTCGTCATTGACGTTGACTAGGAATATATCGATAAAAAGCATGTAAATATTGTTTCTCGGATACATTTCATGTCAAGGCTATGGCCGTTGATGAGATCGTAGCCGAAAAACTCATCCCCGTATATGATGAACCATTGATGAACATAAGGTTTTTTAATTTAATTTATGGGTTATTGGCTGCATCAAAAATAAAATTGAGAATTGAAACGAGGAATGTGTCAAAGAGACAACAACCCGACCAAAGAGCATAAAACAGCGCAAGGCCACCATTTGGAGTAAAAATGTGTACTAGTTCAGGCCCTATACCTCTACCCTAATTTAGAATAAATAAACACGCAGCAATACGCACAAAAAAAATCAGTTCTAAAGAAGTCCGAGTCCGATGTTAGAATAGGTAACAGAAGAAACTAAGCAAAATGCCAATGATAAACTTAAATTAACACATGACTACTAGCAGTTACTGTAATGACATCCCAGTTCTAGACCTCAATTAAACTGATTGAAAGATAATGTCTTCATCATATAAAAATAAAGCAAAATCCCTCCCGTTATAGGTTTAGTATCATACCATCATAAAATATACGAGACGAACATAATCCGTATCATGCCAACAACTGGTTTTAGAATCAATGTGTTTATTTCCGATGAAAACACCCTATGAGTGAATCAATATACATTTCCAAAGATGCCATCTTTGATGAGCTGTCAACAGTATCGTAACTGTATCTCTTCTGAATAAGTCTGTTTGAAGGTTTAGTTAGCTTTTGGGGTGAATGGCGACATTTGTGTGCTTTGTATAGAATATTACCATAAAAGATTTAATGTGAAATACCTGAACGTATAAGATGTCTAGTTAACTATATTTCCTTCAAAGTTTACACATTTGTCGACCACTTTTAGAAAGTACCTCTTATTTATATTCTGTTCCGTTCAGACTTTTTTTCTGTGCAGTGTGCATTTAGGGTTTGAAATTGCCGTTACCATGACTCCAGATTGAATGAAATGTCAGGAAATATAATTCGTCATTCGAAAGGGTGTCATCCGTCTTTAGAACTCTCAAAATGGCCATCGTTGCCATGGAAACAGTCTAAATGTGAAAAAAATGAAAATTCAACTTTAGCTACCTGAATAACTTTCGACAATGAAAAATGGAGGAAATTATGTTTCAAAATTTATCTCAAATAACAAATCATTCTAATCAATCAATCTAAGAACCAAAAACTGTGTGAAACTCATAAACTTCAAAATAAGCAAGACAGGGTGGCTGGTTAGGATTTTCGTCTACTGCTATCAATTTTCAGCAACGTTACACATAAGACGACTATCTTGTATTTGAATATCTAAAGCAATACTCGTATTAAATGTCTAAACATAGATTTAATTATTATTCTATTGATTAACTGTTCTAACTACATGTAACTAAATTGTTTGTTTTTTACCTATGTTATAATCTTATCATACAACCAATATTGTATCATTTGTTCGTACTTATGAACCTATATATTTGAATTTTTTCCATTTAAATGACATGAACAGTGCATAGTTTGTTAATCTAAAAATAGAAAAAGTCAAGTTAGAACAACTGTGGTGTGTAACTAGATTGTTTAACATTGATATTCGCACAGAAAAAGGTAAGACCAATTATCATCTTTCGATCGACATTTTAGTAAATCAATGTATTTTATTTAAATTTAAAATTATTTCATTCGGATTGTTCTTCCAGTGTTTAACTCTTTTAGTAATTACAGAGGATATACACTATCTTTCATTATGCGATTTAGTTTAATATATATAACATCTGTAAATTACATATGGTGGTTAGAGAATTCTTGAACAAGAAAGAGTAAAAGTTATGGCCATATGATTCAGTTTTGATCGTACTCCTTGTTTTTGAGGGAAATTGGTATACAAACTGTTTTACCAAGTCAATTAGAATACGTATTAAAAAAATTAACCAAGTCAATTAAAATACGAATCAAAAAAATTAACCAACATATTCTACTTTTAAAAGAATAGGGTTGACATTTAAGGCATTTACTAGACATTTCTGTTTCGTTGACAGAAATGTGTTATCCAAAGTTTTGAAATACTGTGAGCCTAAATCAATCAATTGAAAACACAACTTTAAAATACTAATGGATTCAGTCGGGGATTATACCAGAAAAAGAATTAAACGCGAGAAAAATGACGTAGATAGTGTTTTCTAATGGATTGAGGCTGAGGGGTCGTTGATACAAATCAGAATTAAAAAAACTAAATATGTCTATGAATACATAAACCATAAAAACATAAATGTTGCAAACCAGTGTCTTACCTCCATGACAAATGTGTTGTTGTTCCCGCAGATAAAGCCACAAACAACATCGTGTTTGTGTATAAATAACATTACAAATAATGCTTGATAAATGAATTAGGTATTGACAATTCAGTTGGAAACTCAACATATACCTCTACGACACTTACCATGGAGGAAATCCTGAATATTCATAGGTCTGTTCTATGTCCTTTTGGAATTTCAACCAAAGATGAAGAACATGATCTCCCTTCACTGTATTGGATACCCAAGTTACATGAGTGGGTCTTCCAAGTGCTCCACGAAACTCTTATTAATATCAATTTGAAAAGGAATCAAAGCTGGGCTTTAGAGTTATTGTAAAACTACCTATTGTAGAGGCGGCGAGTATCAGACGTAAATTCTAAAAACTTCCAAAGATATATTAAAGGACATACAATCTTAGACTTTTTCATCTTGCAATAGTATTAAAACATTTGACTTTTAAGTATTCACCATTTCAAACTAAAAGACAAATAAAAAAAGTTGGCCCTGCTAGCGAGGGGTAAAATATGAATATAAATGCCCAACACATGGTTAAATGAAACAAATCTACGGCTGCCATGAATTATTTCGATTCTAACAGAACAAATTCTGAAATTTTGCCAACCGTAAAAGCCCTATACAAACGATGCTGTTTTGGTTGTTCCGTTTTATCCCCCGTATAATCATATTTATAACATTATATTATTCAATTATCAATGAAAAAATTCATATTCCTCACCTAAATTTGTTCTTTTTTGTGTTATATTACTACATTCTGAGGAGTACAAGAAGCCGTAAAAAGCCCGGTGTTTACATTTGAAGCCGGAAGCATACATATGACGTCATTTTCAATGAGATTGCAGCCGAAGAACTCATTCCCGTATGATGACCCATGATGAAACATAAGTTTTTATTAAAACAATTTTGTGGTTTTTTGACTGCACCATTCAAGTTAACTATATTTCCGTCAACATGTTCAAAATCTACACATTTTTAGACCACTGTTGGAACGTAACTCTTACTTATATTTCTTTTCGTTGAGACTTAAGTTTTTTTTTTTCCTGTTCTATGTCCTTTTGGAATTTCAACCAAAGATGAAGAACATGATCTTCCTTCACTGTATTGGATACCCAAATTACATGAGTGGGTCTTCCAAGTGCTCCACGAAATTCTTATTAATATCAATTTGAAAAGGAATCAAAACTGGGCTTCAGAGTTATTGTAAAACTACCTATTGTAGAGGCGGCGAGTATCAGACGTGGATTCTAAAAACTTCCAAAGATATATTAGAGGACATACAATCTAAGACTCTTTCATCTTGCAATAGTTTTAAAACATTTGACTTTCAAGTATTCACCATTTCAAACTAAAAGACAAATTAAAAAAGTTGGCCCTGCTTTGTTTCATAAAAAAAGGCCAATGTTGAGACAAGTTTCTTGTCTTAGGGAGGGATAAATTGTACTTTGTAAAAAAAAAAAACTCTGATTAAAAAAAAAAATCTCTGAAACTGACATTATCAAGATGCTTGATTTAAGAAATAATTCATGGCAGCTGTAGATTTGCTTGCATTTAACCATGGTTTGGGCATTTATATTTGATTATTTTATCCCGAGCGATAGCGAGGTGTATAATATGAATGTAACTGCCCAACCCATCGTTAAATGAGAGCAAATCTACGGCTGCCATGAATTATTTCGATTCTAATAGAACAAATTCTGTAATTTTGTCAACCGTAAAAGCCCTATACAAACGATGCTGTTTTGGTTGTTCCGTTTTATCCCCCATATAATCATATTTATAACATGATATTATTCAATTATCAATGAAAAACTCATATTCCTCACCTAAATTTGTTCTTTTTGTGTTATATTACTACATTCTGAGGAGTACAAGAAGCCGTAAAAATCCCGGTGCAACCGATGTAATACAGTACATTATATATAAGGTATGAAGATGGAATTGTTATTTTTTGAGTTGTATATACAGAATGTACACAGCCATGTATCACCATCACTGCTGGTGATCCGATGGATAAATCTGTTGTAGAGTTGTCACTGGTTCAGACGTACTTATAGATATAATTATTTCTGTGACTGTATCTTGCATTAATTTGTAGGATTCTTTACAATAGATATTTCAGCTGATCTGTAACAATTCCATCTTCATGCCTTCTATATCATGTACATGTACACCCGGCCACCGAAAGCTTTATTATAGTTAAGAGTAGTTGGTCGAGTGGTCAAGCGCGTCTAATACAGTGCAGGCGATTTGGTGGCACGATATATCAGTAGCATGAGTTCGAATCCCGGCGAGGGAAGAACAAAAAATTTGCGAAAGCAAATTTACAGATCTAACATTGTTGGGCTGATGTTTAGACGAGTTGTATATATATATATATATATATAAGCAAGTCTGAATTGAAAACAAAGTTCAAACCTATGATTGCGTTGTGTGCATGCAAAACAAATGTCTTTGTAGAGGGGTCTAAATACAGCACAAGCTACATTTTCCAAAATACCAAAAAGTAAAAAAGCATTTGCAGCGTTTTTCATCACACGAACGACATTCTCCAGAAGTACTTCTATTATCAGACACTTCAGCCCGCACCAGAATGTAAATAAAATACACAAAATATGTTTTAGATTAAAGTTTCTGTAATATCGATTAAAGGGTATATCTGTCACTTGATCATATATATAAATATATACAAGATATTCTATGTAAATAAAATGCACAAAAGATATTTTAGATTTAAAGTTTTTGTAATATCGGTCTAAGTATTTAAACCGTATATTTTAAATGCACTGCAAGTTTACGACAAAGGAAATAAATTGACATAACAGGTCGATAACATAAATATTTCACGCGAGTCATTGCTTATTCATTTATGACTTGTTTTTTCAAAGATAGTGCGTAATGTTACTAGCTACCTGAATAACTTTCAACGAGGCGAAATGTAGGAAATTATGTTTAAATATTTATTTCTAATGACAGCTGCTATCCATGCATATCGATATGCGAATCCAAAGTGTTATAATCGGAAATATAATATTTTCAGTAACGTTGCAGATAAGTCGACTGTTTAACTTCTAAATATATAAGGCAATACCCATATCAAATTTCTAAACGCAGATTTTATTATCATTCTTTGAATCAACAGTTTTTGGTAAATATCGTATCATACTATGAAGATTTAAATATTTTCTTTCGTACAAATGAACCTATTCATATTAGTGTTTCAATTTAAACGACATAAACAAAAATGTATATCTCGTAAGTGCGATATGGCCCTGAAGTGGCCCTATTTCTAAAAACAATTTCAAATTAGTATTTTTTAAACAATATCATAATACAGATGTAAATCATAACTAATACAGTTACTAGATAGACAAATGTATGTTTTTGTTTGGTTCAGACCTTTTTCAATACCTGATATCCAATATGAGTAAATAGTCATAAGACATATACCCGAGCAAAATCAGAGATTGTCAAAAGCTTTTTCCCAATGATTTCAATAACTTTTTTTCATATTTGTTTAGATTTTCTGGTATAATTGTTTCTTGTTCAATTTATTTTTAATTTAATAATGTAGTGAATTTAAACATATGTGTACCCATTAGGAACTTTACTTTTTTATTTTTAGATAAAAGAACTTTTCACCAACTTACCCAACTTAAGTATGTAAAGACCGACTAAAATTGAATCCGCACAGACAGAAGACGGTAAGACCAATCGACGTTTTATTAATCAATGTATTTCATTTAAATTTGACATTATTTCATTAAGATTGTTCTTCCAGTGTTAAGTCTTTTTTTTAGGGGGTTGGGGGGGGGGGGGGATAATTACCGACGATATATGCTATCTTTCATCATGCTATTCAGTTTTGTATATATATAAAATCTATATTAAATCATTCAATAATTACAATTACAATAACCATATAAATTAAAAATACTGGTTAGCGAATTCTTGAACAGCAAGGAGTAACAGTTTATGGTCACACGATACAATTTTGATCCCATTTTTTTCTAAGTTTGTAATAAAGAATAAATAAAATTAAGAAGATGTGGTATTATTGCCAATGAGACAACTCTCCACCAATTCAAGTTCAAATGAAGTGAATGTAAGCAATTAAAGGCAACCATACGGCCTCAAGATATTTCGTTCCATTTGACAGACATACAGACATACTGAACTTGTCTTATTCGAAAAGTATTCGAAAAGTAAACACAAGCCGATTCACGTAAAAACATAAACTTAACAGGTCGATATCATGGATATTCACGTGAGTTATTGCTTATTCATTTATGACTTGTTTTTTCAAAGATAGTGCGTCATGTTCCTAGCTACCTGAACAACTTTCAACGAGGTGAAATGTAGGAAATTATGTTTAAATATTTATTTCAAATGACAGCTGCTATCCATGCATATCGATGCATCACTCGGTATGCGAATCCAAAGTGTTATAATCGGAAATATAATATTTTCAGTAACGTTGCAGATAAGTCGACTGTTTTACATCTAAATATATAAGACAATACCCATATCAAATTTCTAAACGCAAATTTAATTATCATTCTTTTAATCAACAGTTTTTGGCAAATATCGTATTATACTATGAAGATTTAAATATTTTCTTTCGTACAAATGAACCTATTCATATTAGTGTTTCAATTTAAACGACATAAACAAAAATGTATATCTCGTAAGTGCGATAAGGCCCTGAAGTGGCCCTGTTTCTAAAAACAATTCCAAATTAGTATTTTTTAAACAATATCACAATACAGTTGTAAATCATAGCTAATACAGTTACTAGATAGACAAATGTATGTTTTTGTTTGGTTCAGACCTTTTTCAATACCTGATATCCAATATGAGTAAATAGTCATAAGAAATATACCCGAGCAAAATCAGAGATTATCAAAAACTTTTTCCCAATGATTTTAATAACTTTTTTTCATATTTGTTTAGATTTTCTGGTATAATTATTTCTAATTCAATTTATTTTTAATTTAATGATGTAGTGAATTTAAACATATATGAACCCATTAGGAACTTTACTTTTCTATTTTTAGATAAAAGAACTTTTCACCAACTTACCCAACTTAAGTATGTAAAGACCGACTAATATTGAATCCGCTCAGACAGAATACGGTAAGACCAATCGACGTTTTATTAACCAATGTATTTCATTTAAATTTGACATTATATCATTAAGATTGTTCTTCCAGTGTTAAGTCTTTTTTTTTTTTTGGGGGGGGGGGGGTGGTAATTACCGACGATATATGATATCTTTCATCATGCTATTCAGTTTTGTATATATATAAAATCTATATTAAATCATTCAGTAATTACAATTACAATAACAATATAAATTACAAATGTTGGTTAGCGAATTCTTGAACAACAAGGAGTAACAGTTTATGGTCATACGATACAATTTTGATCCCTTTTTTTTCTAAATTTGTAATAAAGAATATATAAAATTTAGAAGATGTGGTATTATTGCAAATGAGACAACTCTCCACTAATTCGAGTTCAAATGAAGTGAATGTAAGCAATTAAAGGCAACCATACGGCCTCAAGATATTTCGTTCCATTGGACAGACATACAGACAAACTGAACTTGTCTTATTCGAAAAGTATTCGAAAAGTAAACACAAGCCGATTCATGTGAAAACATGGAATATCGTACTTCGTCGCAAATATCCCAGTGAACTTGAAATAAAGGATACTACTGATACTTGAAGGACTGGTTCATACCTTGATATATCCCTCAATATTGACACAGATGGACGACTTTACACTAAAATCTATGACAAACGGGATGATTTTAACGTCCCTATTATCAATTTCCAATTTCTAAGCAGTAACATACCCTCTGCCCCATCTTATAGTGTTTACAAATCTTTTAAAATTGATACACTATGCTCGTGCATGTTAGTACTATAGACTTCATATACAGGAGTATGCTCCTTACGCAAAAACTGCTCCAACAGAGTTATGAGGAGGAAAGATTTAAAATGACACTCCGTAAATTTTATGGACACCATCACGAATTGGTTGATCTATACGATGTGTCTGTGTCTAAACTAACAAACGACATTTCTACCACGTCTTAGATTGTGGTTTATTATCTACGTCGTCTTGTCTGCTAAGTACCGAACGTGACCTGTTCCCGAATATGACTGTTTTGCCGAATGTGAATTTGCATTGCTATACGACGTGTCTCGGTATTTATACATTCCTGTATTTAGTTATGATGTTTCTTTTGTAAGTCTCGTTGGATATTGTGTTTTATTATACTTCATGTTAAAATGCCAGATTTTGATTGACCAATACGAGGGAGACAATTTTCTCTATCCCATGGCTGAGCGGGAGACAATTTTTTGATTGTCACCCTCTCCTGCAGACCAATCAAAAATCGATAATGTAAAGGACAATATGTTGCATTTACATCAATTAATTGAAAACAATGATCAAGTTCTACGTTTTGGCCCAGAACATTTTCATAGACTGTCAAAATGAAACAAAATAAACATGTTGCTTCACTTCTGTTGAATTTTCTAGTATCTGTAACGATTTAATGTACTTGACGTCATAGTAAAATACTTTAAATTTAAAATTCAACAGTAAAAGACAATAATGATAGGACATTCAGTATAATAAATTAAATTACACATATCTGAGAGGGTGATAGGGCAGATTAGTACCAATCGAAAAAAAAACATTGTCAACCTTGGCTTCGCCTCAGTTGACAATGTTTTCCCGGGGTAACAATCTGGAATATCACCCTGTCAGTTATGTATTATTTGTATAATGTCTTATCGTTTGTGGTATAAATTCTGTATGTTCGGTACATTTCACATGTCTTATTTGTCTGTATAGTCGAGCTACTCGTGGTTCTTCTACAGTTTTTTGTTTTATGTTGTTTGTTTGTTTACTGTTTTGTCTAACATCATCTTGCATTATATAACAGTTATTTTTTTTAATTTTCTATATGTCTTTAAATAAAGGCAACAGTAGTATACCACTATTCAATAGTCATAAATCGATTAAGCGAAAACAACTCCGCGACACAAACCAAAACCGAGGGAAACACATCAACTGTAAGAGGAAAACAACGGAACAACAGAAACAGTAAAAGTTAAGATAATAAATCAGCTGTTTCTTTTTTATGAGTTAAAAGCTACTCTATGCACGGATTTTTTTTTTTGTTTATACACAGTTTTGATTTATAAAAAAAACCGACATGGTTATTAAATAAAACAAATAACACATTTACAAACACATTTCCCTTTAAATATTCTTGTCATGGTTAGAAAATACATAAAACAACACCATTACAAACTCAATCCTAATTTTATATTATAGTTCGTGTCTACAATAAAACAAATCTATTCTATGTTTAGAAAGTAACATGTGATAATATAAACGTCACAAAAATACGTCACTTTTTGTGACGCTGATACATTCATGTGACGTGCAGTTTGAACTTCGTTTTTGGAGGACTGGTGTACTGTGGTAAATTCATTGGAGGTGTCCGTTGTTATTCTGTGGTTCACATGTTGTAATGTACTATTATATATTTTATGTATGTATTTCTCTGTCCTGAGTGTTTATTTATACTGTATTCCTGTCACGTAATGTTGTCATTTTAGCGATATTTTTAACATTACCATATAAGCTGGAGGTTTGACTAGCCATAAAACCAGGTTCAATCGACCATTTTTTCGTAAAATGTCCTGTACTAAGAATATGGCAGTTGTTATCAAATAGTCCGTTTTTATGTATGGTGGCGTTTGTTCATGTTGCAGTTCAGTGTTTCTATTGTCTGTTGTTTTCCTCTTGTAGTTGATGTGTTCCCCTCGATTTTAGTTTGTAACATGGATTTTTTCGATTAATCGAAAATGACTATTGAACAGCGATAAACTACTGTTGCTTTTATTTCTATTTATACCTATGCTCTAGATAATGCTTTCTGAAAAAAATCCATTTTTTATTAAATTTTCATGATTTAAAATAACGGCATTTTTTGTTGTAAGTTTTTCTAATTTTTATTAAAAAAAAAATCATCGCTGATTTGTTTATTATAATTGGTACAACTTACTTTCATACATAATCAAGCCAAGTTTCATTTGAAAAAGAAACCTCCATGTACACGTTTTCTAGTTCATAATTAAGATCAATCTTAAAAAAGATGCATCAGTTCCCAATATGTCAGAGTTTATCTTTTTTATAGCTTTACCAAACCATTGCAACATTATTTTTTTTTACAATCACGTGTTGCAGAATCGCAATATTGAAGACTTCAAGTCAAAACCTTGTTCCTGTGCTAGTTCCACTTCTATTTACAATCTGACTGGTCACGTTATTACTGTCGACCTAAACTTTGTCAATAACACTTCTCTGCGAAATTTTTTATCCAACGATTAAAAATATCATGACCTTAAATCAATCAATTGGAAACACAACTTTAAAATACTGATGGATGAAGTAAAGGATTATACCCGGCAATGAGTTAAACGCGAGAAAGAAGACGTAGATACTGTGTCCGTATGCATTATGACCGTAAGGTCGTTGATACAAATCAGAATAAAAAAAACCTAAATGAGTCTATGAATAAACATGCGACCTCAACCTTTAAATGCCTTAATCTTGCAAAGTACCTGTCCTATTTCCGTAACCAATATGGTGTTGTCACTTTAGATAAAGCCCCAAACAACATCGTGTTTGTGTGTAAATAACATTACATAAACTGCTTAATTTTCACAAATGTCTTATTTGTCAGTATTTTTGAGTTAATTTCCATTTTCCATGGATAAAGTATTGTGTTAGACCAAATAATTATGATGTCGTCACAGCATTTATTTAAAATACCGTGATAATCATAATAATTGTTTGGACTAGTATTGTGAAAATAATTGTATGAATTTCAAGATTATATATTTGTCACAAAAAGACACTGTTTGTTTTGTCCTGTGTTTTCGTTAATGGAATATGTTCGTTGTTATTCAGCGGTTTACATATTGTAACGACTATCACATTATTTATATTCGCGTTTTTCTGTGCGGAGTGTTCTTTCGTTTGTTTGTGCTGTATTCCTGTCACATAGTATTGTCACTTTAGCGATACTTTTTAACATTGCCATATAAGCGGGAGGTTTGGTTAGTCATAAAACCAGGTTCAACGCACCATTTTTTTCTTAAAATGTCCTGTACCAAGTCAGGAATATGGCAGTTGTTATCAAATAGTTGGTGTCTATGTATGTTGGCGTTTCTTTTTGTTGCACTTCAGTGTTTCTGTTATTCCATTGTTTTCCTCTTATTGTTGATGTGTTTCCCTCGGTTTTAGTTTGTAACACCGGATTTGTTTTTCTCTCAATCGATTTATGACTTTTGAACAGCGGTACACTACTGTTGCCTTTATTTAGTAAATGAATTTTAGGTATTGACAATTCAGTTGGAAACTCAACACATACCCCCACGATACTAGCTAAGGATAATCATACGTCTGTTCTAGGTTCTTCTGGAATTTCAACGGAAGATGAAGAACGTTATTTTTTCTCGATGTATTGGATACCTAAATTACATAAGTGGGTCTTCCTAATGCTCAAAGAACCTCTTTCTAAATTATTAACATCAATTTTAAAAGCAATCAAAGCTAACCTTCAAAGTTATTGCGAAACTACCTCTATTCCAGAATTCACGGAACTTCCAAAGATGTGTTAGATGACATACATGTACAATCTAAGACTCTTTCATCTTGCAATAGTAATTACACTGTTGACTTTTTGAGTATTTACCATTTCAAACTAAAAGACAAATTAGAATAGTTGGTCCTGCTTTGTTTCATAAACAGAATGAAAAACGTTGAAACAAGTTTCTTGTCTTAGGAAGGGATAAATCGTACTTTGTTAAAAATAACTTTGATTCAAACAAATTTGTTTCTGAAACTGCCATAATCAAGATGCTTGTCTTCTTAATTGATAACATGGGTTGGAGGCTGTGTTTCTTCAACAAACAATCGACATTTTCATGGGTACCAATTGTGCGCTACTTCTTGCTGACTTATTCATTTAAGGCGGACTTCATAGAGAAGCTTCTTAGGATGAATAAAAAGAAGCTAGAATTATCCTTTAACTTCATTTTCCG